AAGAGGTGGGACCCACGTGGGATGCACCTCAAACCAGCCTGTGGTCCCCGCAGGGCTGATACGGGGAGGAGAGCAGGAAGTGCACGGGAAGGTCTCTGAGGTCAGGGCTGGGGGGGCCCGGGCTGGGGCTGGGGGGGCCCGCCAGGGTGGGGGCTGGGGGGGCCCGGGCTGGGGCTGGGGGGGCTGGGGGGCCCACCAGGGTGGGGGCTGGGGGGGCTGAGGGGGCCCGGGCTGGGGCTGGGGCGGTCCCGCCAGGGTGGGCGACTTTCACCTGTGTGAGTCCGCGAGTCCACCTTGTGGCCAGAAAGCTGCCCTGGTGAAAACATGGTAAATGTTTTGCCCAACAGGTTTGAGCAGAGAGGAGAGCGTCCAAATCCCAACTAAAGTGTGTCTTCTTTACTTTTCACGAAAGACGATCATCAACGGTTTTGTTGCAAGTCCGCTAAGGGGGCGGGCCCTTGTCAGGTGGGGAGCGCTGTCCTGGGATGGCTGCGGTGGCACGTCAGGTGTTTGAGGTACTCGATGGTCCCCAGGGCCCCTAAGGCATTTGGCAAAGTGTAAGCTACACGTACACTTAGTGCTGTGACCTCGCAGGCGCCCACTTGACAGTGAAGTGATTTTGTTGCTGATCTACGTGCCTGTGCAGCACAGGGATATACACGTATGTCCACCTACGGGTGAAGCGTGCTGGTAGTGACCTGTGCGCGTGCGTGCACGTGTGTGGCTGGCCGGGACGCGGGCCCGAAGGTGGCCAGCGCGGCTCAGCGTGCCGCAGGACGCCGCGGTAACCGATCACCGCCGGGTGGCCTGAGACCACCTCTCCCACAGATCTGTGGACCGGAGCCGGAGCAGCGAGCCGCGCCAGGAGGTGCTGGAGCCTCAGGTAACAGCCTGGAGTCCTCAGTGACTTGAGGAAATAAAAGTGTGGGAGAAAAGACAGTTGCGCTGGTCTGTTATTTGGAGGAATTCAGTGTGGGATCCACGTGGTGGCTTCCTTCCAAGGAATATAGTTCAGAGACGCGGAAAACAGGGTCACTTTGCGGTGGAGAAGGTGACAGACGTGGGCTCAGCAGGTGAGCAGAGTAGCAGCGGCGGCGATGGGCGATACAGACGGTTCGTCCCCGCGGCCTGGCGTGTGGGAAGGGCCCTTCCCTTCTGTGGGTCCCTCCCCCAAACCCAGAACTCTCTAACTGTGAGGAAAAATACCAGCTGGCCCCACGTGAGGGACGCTCTACAAAATGCTGACCTGCCTCAAACGAGGGGGTCTGAGAAGCTGTCCCGGTCCAAGGAGACATGGCGAGGAAATGTGACGTGGCACGTGGGCCCCGGGACAGATCAGGACCGTGGCATGGTGTCCACTTGGGCCCCGGGTCAGATCTGCGGGTGCAGACGGCGAGTCCCGGAGGACGTTGGACCACTGGGTTCGTACGAATGCATCAACGCAAGGTTGTCACTTGTGACACGTGAGCCGTGTTAATGTCAGATGGGGACAGTGGTGGGACCCAGGCTGGGGCACACAGGCACTTCTTGTCCCATCTCTGGAAGCCTCTGGGACTCTAACACTGTTCTTTCAAAGAAGCTTGTCAAAAAATACCGAGCTCGGAGGAAAGCCTGCTTCATTTGTGCGTTTTTTCATTCTCATTCTTTCACATATTGAAAATATAGATAAGTAACTAAATAAACGCAAATGAAAACAAGCAGAGGGCCAGGCTGTGGGCATCATCTCCTAGAATATTCCGGGAGTTTGGAGCCCGGCTCACAGCTGAGGACGAGCTGGCAGGAGCCTGCAGCGAAACTTCTGCGGGCGTCTCCACGCCAGGAGCCAACTGTCTAAACAGGCGTTCGCTGATGAGGGCTTGGGCGCTGGCTGTCCCTCAAGCACCTGGATTCAGCCGAGGTCTGGGAGGTGGAATAATGCGTTTGCCGCCACGCTTACCAGACCGCGATGATAACACTGCCTTTGGATTCTGCGGTTTGGGTTGTTTTATATTTTATTTAAAAAATTTTTAATGCTTATTCATCTTTGAGAGAGAGACACAGAGTGTGAGCAGGGGAGGGGGAGAGAGAGGCAGACACAGAACCCGAAGCAGCTCCAGGCTCCGAGCCGTCAGCACAGAGCCTGACGCAGGGCTCGAACCCACGAACCGCGAGAGCGCAGGCAGAGGCTGGCTCCGCTGTGCAGGCCCCTTCACCCTCCTTTAAGCAGCTGTGGGTGCCACGTGCGGACAGTGACGGGGAACAGGCCACTCTGGTCACTGGCTGCAGCTGCGGCCCCGGCCCTGCTGGTGGAATCTGTCCGTGGCCCCGGGTTTTGTTCGACTGGCGCGTGTCCCCTCGGTGATACTGGCCCACCGTTCACACACGGCCCTTAGCCTGTTCACGCCCCCAGCGCCGCACCCTTCGCCGCCGCCGGCCTCAGGGAACGTCCCTGGGGAGGGGGCCGGGGGGCTGGGCATCTCCCTGACCTGCGACCCTCACTCTTCAGTATGAAAGCAGTGGCTGTTCGCTGGTATTTGTTTTTGTTTTTGTTTTTTTTAACTTTCATTTTGCTCAAACCTAAACTTCTATACAGTAAAATCAAGTAAGATTACTGGGGGAAAATTAAAGAAGATCCACAAAAATATAAGCCAAATTGTTTATTATTAAATTGAAGACGTGAAGCTGTCTCTCTGCCCTGTGGCGGGTGGGTCCCCGTGGATCCGCACCAGCCGGGGGGCGCGCGACAGGGGCCTGGGCCGAGCGGCCGGACGGCCTCCGACGCAGGCCCGCTCACCCCAGGCCCCGGGCGGCCCCGCACCTGCCGGCCCCTGCAGCCTCGGCCCCAGGGTCGCCCCGGGGGAGGGTGACTATCAGGATGGCCCGAGCCCGTCCCTGAGGACGCCAGGAGGAAACGGAGGGGAGAGGCCTCCCCAGGGAGGGGAGGAGGGGGGAGGCCCCGGAGGAGGAAAATCTCCTTGTGTTGGAGCTGAGGGTCGGGGAGGGGTTGGTGATGGGAACGTCCCTGAACCCCGTTTGACAGGGAGAGTGGGGCCCGGGTGGGGGGCGTCCTTGGAGACGTCCGCCCCCTGCCAGGAAAGTGGTCACATAGCAGACGCGTTTCACTGGGAGCCAGAGCCCCGCGGGGACCGGCCTGCGGTGAGAAAGGGGACCCACGCGAGGCCGTGAACCTCGGGCCAGGAGGGTCCGCTGGGGACAAACACACCAGTGAGTGTGCGCGGTGGCTTCACCCACGGGACCCAGTGCCTGGCTATGTGCAGCTGAGGCCCCGGTGGATGTGGGACCGAGCAAGGGGCCTGGGGGGACGCGGGGGGGACACGGGGGGGATGTGGGGGGGACAGGGGAGGAGACGCGGGGGGACGGGGGAGGGGACACGGGGGGGATGGGGGAGGGGATGGGGGGACGTGGAGGGGATGCAGAGGGGACAGGGGGGACGCGGAGGGTACATGGGGAGGGGGAGCACTTTCTGGCCCAGATTAGGGAGGAGAAGGGAAGAAGGGAGGGGAAGGGAGGAAACGGGGGTGTCTCCCAGCTGCGAGTGCCCCCCGCCCGGTGTGAGTGCCCCCCAGCCCCGAGCGGCCGAGCCCCTGCCCCGGAACCACACGCAGCAGCTGGCGTCCAGCGTCCGCGGAGGCCGGTGAGCGTGTGTGCGGCCCCTCGGCCTGTCCCGCGTGTCCTCGGGCATCGGAGGAGCTACGCGAGGTTAGTTTTCGGATCTGGGAACACGGAACTCTCCACGTAGGGACGTTGTGCTTCGGGGTAGCGGAAACGCACTTAGACACGGAACGGTGAGCTGTAGAAAACCCGGTTTGGCAGAGGAGGAGGGTGAGGAGGGAGGGCCGCAGGCAAGTGCCGCCGAGTGACCGAGCCCTGTCCCAGCAAGTGAGTGACTGAGGACATTACAGTCACAGAGGGGGCTGTGGAGCCGAAATCTTTTAAAGTGATCAAAATCTGGGGCGCCTGGGTGGCTTAGTCGGTTAAGCGTCCGACTTTCGCTTAGGTCATGATCTCGCGGTTCGTGGGTTCGAGCCCCGCGTCGGGCTCTGTGCTGACGGCCAGCTCGGAGCCTGGAGCCTGTTTCAGTCTGTGACTCCCTCTCTCTCTGACCCTCCCCTGCTCACGCTGTCTCTCTCTCCTAGAAATAAATTAAAAAAAAAAAAAAAACACATTTAAAGTGATCAAAATCTTTCCCCCCCAGATGCAAAGAAACCACAGGCGTGTAGCAAACGGACGTGTAACGACAGGAAGATGACAAGAATTGAGCGCTGAATTAAAACCACATGCGTCCCCTCGACCTGTGTGAGCGGCGCACACGCGTGAGCATTGGCTTGGACACAAAGTCTTGAAATAAGGTGAAAGTCGAAAGTCAACAAAGGCAGACGGTGCAAATGGAAACCAAGAGAAGCCACGTTTGCAATTTTCATTCCCAAGAAGGCCGATGACAGCAAACCTTCCGACCCACAGCAGAGAGGTGAAATCTGAGTCTCTGCCCCGAGCAGTCCAGGGTCGGCGCTCACAGAGCGTCGCTGTGGGGGCTGAGCGGGAGCGGACAGGGGCATGCGGTCGCCACGGGAGGGGGAGCTCCCTTCAGTCGCTGGGGGAGGGGGGCAGCCACGGGGGTCCAAACACGTTTGAACGGCGAGTGAACAGACACATACTGAACTCTGTGTGGCAAACAGAAATTGGAAAAAAGAAACTGACCATCAATTGGGCCATGAAGAAATTGTCACATTGTCCAAAAAATTGAAATCATGCAGATAACGTTTTCTGATCCGTTGGGAGTGTGTGTTGCTATAACCTCAATGGAGGCTAAATGTGTTTTAAAGTTTATGTATTTATTTTAAGAGATACAGAGACAGCATGAGCAGGGGAGAGGCAGACAGAGAGAGAGAGGGAGAGAGAGAATCCCAGGCAGGCTCCGCACTGTCAGCCCAGAGCCCGATGTGGGGCTTGAACTCATGAAACTGCAAGATCGTGACCTGAGCTGAAACCAAGAGTTGGATGCTTAACTGACTGAGCCGCCCAGGTGCCCCGGAGGGTAAACTTTTAATATGAGTAAGTTACAGTTATGTATGCACATTGTCTCATAAGGATTTTCCTACAGGAGTTTATTCTTAATTGTGTCTAATATCACGTACAGGTATGCTGATTGCATTGATGCCCACAATAGCAAAACCTTGGCAACTCCCTGCACATCTGCTCGTGGAAACTCATTAAATACATTAAGGTGATTTGTAGGACGGAGTACGACGCAACCGTATGCAGGTCAAGCCGGCTCCAGGCAAACCACCACGAATCTCGGGGTAAAAGCTTAGCTGGAGAGAGTAATAAGGCAGCCTCACCAATGCCGACATGGAGCCATCTCCAGAATACCTTGTCGGTGGTGAACCATTAGTGTGTAAGACCACGTGTGCAGAAGGTCGCAAAGAAAAACACGCACCCACGTTTCCTGGTGGAAGAGGCTCCGAGGCAGGCGTCTCCACACCTGGTAACGGGTCGGTGTCTCTTGGATGTTGTAAAGTTTTGTGCCGTTGTGTGTATTATTCACTCGAAACAATTAAATATCAATTTACTTAGCAATAGACACAGTGACAGTGCTGTGACCCTCGATGGCCTCGTCTCCTGAGTGTCCCCCGGCCATTCTGCATTCACCGACCACCCTGAGCTGTGAGGATGTTCTGGGCCCTGTCCCCACATGGACCCTGAGACTTTCAGACTCCAGTCCACTCACCTCTGTAGCGCCAAGGACACACACCCTGTACCGCCTGGGCCAGCCCCCTGCCCCCGCTCCTCCCAGCGGGGTGACCCTGGAGAGGTAACGAGGCCTCTCTGCTCCCTGATCTCCCGCCTGAGAAATGGGGATAGCAGCATCGCCTGCCTCATGGGATTGTTGTGAGGCTTGAGTCAGGTCAGTCTCAGGGTACACGCCCGGCCCCGCTCTTGGTGACTTCTCTGCTTTCAGGCGTGGCCGACAGAGGGCCTGGCGCATCGTGGCGTTTGGCCTGGTCATGGAATAAGCAGGTGCGTTCCTCCCTGCGATCAGTGCTAACGAAGCTGTCTGTCTTCTGCTTAGCTGCTTAGCTGGTAGAGAATTCGGGATGATTCACACCGTCCAGGAGCCCGCATCCCTGGCAGGAGAAAGGGGTGTGGAAACTGCAGGCGTTGCTCCTTCGCTGACCCTAAAAATATTTTTGTTGGTCTCAGGGATCCAGATAACGCCAGGAAACTACTGGGATCTCAGAACGAGGGGCTGGCCTTGCTGTGACCACAAAACAGCCCACGCAGCACGGCCAGCCTCAGGGCAGCATACACGGCCTTCTGGTAAATGCTCTTTTCCATCGAGCTTCCTTGAATCCTTCCCTGGTGGGCTGTGGTGCTTAGCCATGGTGAGCCATGGGGAACCTTCTGGAAGCTCGGTGTAGCAGGGATGGTGTTCGATCAGCATGAGAGAAGGCCCGCTCCCTGAAGGGCCTTGGCAAGGTCGCTCCACTGCCCGGGCTGCTCCTGTCTGTCCATCCTCGCCAAGAAAACAACCACATAAACCAAACCCACACTCCCTGGCACCAGGTGCGTGCTGTGGGGTTAACGCCACGCTCAGGCCAGAGCCGCCTGGATGAAATCCCGCAGAAACACAGACGTGATTCTGCAGATGTGCTGAGCACCTACTGTGTGCCGCGCCTTGCATTTAGAAATGGATGAGATTCGTGTCGTGCACTGTTTGCAAGGACACCTGATTGTCTGACGAATACTCGCTGAGCCCCTCCCGCGCTCCAGACACTGACTTGGGGCAGGCTGCGCCCGAGCTGCTCCGTTGCTTCCCAGGGCAGCGGGGGCCGTGGGGAGGAGCAGAAGAATAGGGAGGGACGTGGGGGCTGGGAGGGATATGGGGGTCCAGGAGAGATGTGGAGGGTATGGGAGAGAGAGGGGCTCTGAAAAGCTGAGGGGAGTAATGAAGAGACGAAGATGCTGTCCCTGAGAAATTCAGATCAAGGATGGGATTAAGGATACATTTCTCCCGGCTGCTGGGCTGCATCCCACTGGGTGCGGTGCCTGGACCCCGCAGATTTATCCGGGCTTCATAATCAGGCTCGAATTCTGTATGACGGAAACCATCCATGCTTTTCAGCCCAAGCATTACACTCAGGTAAAACCCAACATTCCACGCGCTGAGGGGCTGCAGACGAGCCAGTTCTGTCCGTGTCCACGCAGGTGGGTCGTACCACGGAGCAGGTGTCCACACTCACTTCTCCAGATTCTAGACACACCAGTGCCCGCTGATGCCGGGTTGGGCCCACCTGTTTACAAGTGGTGGTGTGAGGTGACAGCGTGGGGATCTGGGAGGGACACCATCGGAATGAGGGGGACTGAAAGCCGGATGGTTCCTGGGGGCAGATTCCATCCCTGTCCCCATGGCCTGGTGCCCTGCCCCCCATCTCATCCCCTGTCTTCTGTTCCCCACACCAAAAAAATAGAAAATTTTAAAAATCTTAACTTATCCCGGGTGTATAATGTATGCATTTCCACCATTTATCCCAGCCTTTATGCTTTGGGTCCATGGACAGTTGGGGGGTATGATCTGGTGGCATTCTGACACAGTGGTGGCACAGAGGGGTGAGCGTGAGGGTGAGGCCTCCCCCGAGGGGTGGGGGACAGCGCCTGGCTGAGGCCTAACTGCACCTGTGTCTCTCCCAGGGAGCGCCTATAGCCAAAAAGTGGGGGGAGAGCTCTGGGACAGGCTCAGGGACAGGGCTTGCGGGGTGGGGGG